GTTTTCCGTCCCATCCGAACGTCCCGCATCTCTGACTAAGGGGCAATCACGCCGGAAAATCTGCATGGATGGGGCATTTTGACACGAAAACGTTCCGCTTGTAAATAAAAATGACAATTTGACATAACAAACAGTAATTTATCAAATACATATATAAATTATTGTGATCAAAGTTGAATTAAGGATGGATTTTGGGTTGATTTGGGCTTTTTTTTTTTATCTATTCTAGACTATTGATTGATATTATTTTCTCGTTAATTTTTAAACTTACCAGAAACACAATTAAAATGGTTTATCCAGCATACTAATATTAAAATAAATAAATCACCATTTCGCTTTAAATTCATTTTCTTAAAAAAATTTCATTCAGAACAAGACCAGCTTGTCCTTTTGTTCGCGGCTACAAATAGACTCGGTTGTCTTTAATCCAAAACATGAGTCAAATTTACACAGAAATGCACCCTAATTCCTCTAAAATCGAAATAAGTTGGTTAAAATCCACACGGAACACAAATCTTGTATATGTTCACGAAATACAGCGATAATCCTGTTTATTTTTCACTGTTATTTAGATCGAAAGACGCGTGGGCCAACTCGCCACGACGTTACAACTTCTTGTTATGGTGGATTTTTCTTCACGTGCGATCATTCGAAACGTCATTAATATGCACGAGGTGATGTACGCTGAGTTTGGTTGGTTGATTATCAGTTGCTAGGATATTATGTACACACAGTAAGAGAAAACGGGTCGGGTTACATTCGGCGAAATGAGCAGAGAAGTGTGGTTATACATTCGGGGATATCCCGATAATCTTTGTTATTCAAACATGTTTTAGGCGTGTGTAAAGATTTATAGCTATTTAGGCTATATTTTATTAGTAATCCCCTTCCACAAGTTTACGGCGTCTTATTAGGCCTATCTACTATTTTTTTAATATTATCGTCTACCACGATCAGGCCGATTAACCACCTTTATCGTTGCGGGGGTGGGGTATTTCGGGGGTGTGAATCGAGTCGTGTAGTTTCGATTCTCCGGTTGTACGTGACAAGGAGTAGGATCGCCTGTCCAGCTCGTGGGTTTTCTTCGTGGGTTTGCTAACGAAGCAAAGAAGTATAATTGAACCATATGTTATTCCCGAAATTACCTAGTTTGTGTTGAATTCCAACTGTTAAGGGTTCTTTTACGTGCATGGTAATGTGTACACGAAACTCGTTTTTGGTCCCAACCGAACGACTAGACAGCTGTGCTTGTCTGCAGACCTACCGTCCTACACCACTAAACGGCGATACCCAAAGAACTCTCTTGGCCAACACATGAGCTATCCCAACATCACCAGGCTAGCGGGCCAGCTTCTTACGCAGGGGCGTCGGGACCCGGGTACCAGGGTATACAAATGGTACCCTGCCCATTTCTGGGGTATACATGTATACCCATGCCCTAATGATGAAAGTTTTCAACCTTTTTACTATAGTCTATTTATTTTTAAATAATAGATATGTATAATACGAAAATTGTGAATAATCAGGCTTTTGTCTCTTTCATTATCATCTATGTTAAAGGGTTTTATGTTGGAATTTGGAATGCTAGAGGCGCACTAAACAGCGTTCTCGGAATTGACAAATTTCAAAATTGTCTAGAGGCCGGGGGGAGAGATCCCCCCCCCCCTATGTTTTGATACCCTGGCCGTCGAGCCGTTCCGATGCCCCTGGTCTTACGCCACCGCGGATCCCCCGTAACCCTTGTGGGTGCACGTTGTGACAATCACATATCGCAGGTATCATGGGGACCATATGGACTCTATTTATAATGAGAACTTTTTACGTACACACACATATATATATATACTATTCAAAAAAAGTAGGGGATATTTGATTTTTAAGTGTTATTAAAGTCACCTAATGAAACTGACGAAGAAACAAATGACAAAATGAAATGAAGTTCACATTCATCGATTTATTCCAAATGATCGTTAGACTAAGTAAGGCACAGACTGACCATTATAAGGGTAAAATGATACCCGGGGTCAAACAGCAAAGTTACCACAGCATCACAACCAAGTCAGTAACGGGTAAATCCTCCTCTGTTTGCCAAACAAGCATTGATCCGACGTGGCATACTCCTAATGAGACGTCTAAGGTCATTTTGGTCCAGATTGTCCCATTCCTGTTGCAACGCAGCAGCAAGTTCTTGGACATTGGCAGGACGTTGTTGACGTTGACGTAACCTCTGTCCAATCATGTCCCAGACATGCTCGATGGGGGAGAGGTCGGGACTCAGTGCTGGCCAAGGTAATGTGGTGATGTTCTGTTGTTGGAGGTAACCTGTAACGATCCTGGCCCTGTGACATCTTGCGTTGTCATCCTGGAAGATGAAACGGCGGCCATGACGTCGTGCGAACGGCACAACATGGACTGCCAAGATGTTGTCCCGGTAGTACTGGCCTGTAACACGCCCTGCAACAACATGTAAAGCCGTTCTTCCAGCAACAGTGATGCCTCCCCACACCATAACAGAACCACCCCCAAATCGATCATGTCTGATGACGTTAACGTCTTGGAAGCGCTCGTTTCGACGACGCCACACCCTCCTACGTCTGTCCAAAAAATCAACAGTGAACCTTGACTCATCTGAAAACATCACATTGCTCCAGCGTCGATTATCCCAGTGTTGACGATCCCTACACCAACGACGTCTTGCCTGAATGTGATGATCTCTCAAACAAGGGATCACGCGAGGACGTCGGGCGCGAACGTGACCCCTATGCAGTCGATTCCGAATCGTCTGGCCACTCACTCTCACACCAGTGTCTGTTTGAAGACGAGCGCTGATCTGATTTGCTGTGATGACACGATTTCTCAAGGCCAAGGTACGGATAAATCGATCTTGGGCTTGAGTTGACGCCCTTGGTCGACCTGAGCGTGGTCTGTCCTGTACAGATTGTGTATCACGGTATCTGGACCATAGCCTGCTTATGACAGACTGAGAAACATTCATCGTCTGCGCCACAACCGCCTGTGTTGTGCCGATCTGTAGCATGCCAAGGGCACGTAACCTTTCATTTTGGGTAAGCCGACGCATATCAAAATTTGTTTTCTGGTCACTAAAACAATTAAACTGATGTTTCCACCCTGGAATTCAATGCCACAATGACTGTAACATTCAAAGTCAGAGTCGTGCAAATCTTGGGTTGGACCCCCATGATGATCCCAAGCATCACCTGCATTCCATGCGGTAGCTATTGGTGCGTTTGGGCGTCACATGTAACTGGAAATGTTTCTTCTGTTAGGTTCTATAGTGACTTTTTTCGTAGTCATTTGCATATTTTAGTATTATGCCCCCAAAATCAAATATCCCCTACTTTTTTTGAATAGTATATTTGAGTTAAACGGCAACGGTGTGTTCTTTATTTGCATTCATACGTGAAAAACAACCTAAATTGTTATCCAGAAATATTTTATTGACATATGGACAAGATTTAATAATTCCCACAAAATTGCTACTATGTGTTCTATTCTCAGACGGACGGACCAACAGAGAATGATGAGATTCCATAGGTTTCATTCTCTCAAACTTTGTTACACATTTTAAGTAAACGGCAAGACCCTTGATCCAAGCAGTTCTGGTATGATGAGCACTAACATCGAATTCACTGGAGGTTCCGTGTTCTATCCCTGCGTTGGCCGAGAAAGTTCATAGGGATTTTCCGGCGTGCTCCCCCCACCCCCTTTGTCAGTAGTGCAGGATGGAGAGCCTGGCAAGGGACAACGTAAAGTCGCTCAGGTGGGACGAGGTCACGTGTACACTTTGGCGTGCTAGTAAAAGTTTCCTTGGCAGTTGGAATTCGATATTATAGGCCGTATCGCCGCTGTCTTGCTTGGCAAAATTTCCCCAATAGTACACTGTCTTCATAAGCACAGTCTGAGTAGAACACTGGGACATCAAATCTCATTTCATTTCCTTTCAGAAAAGATAAAGACGCGCTCAGGGTGCAAATTTGGTCATCGGATGGGACAAGTTCAGGTGAGGGATACAAGAGTTATCCACCTTTAGTTTTCAAACTTTAAAATAATTACATGGTACCGCGGTGTTCTCGGTGAGTAAGGCGTTTGGTTCCTAAACTGAAGGTTCAATAACCCTTGACAGCAGGAATAAAAAATAATAGTAATCCGTAGCAGCGCTGTTCGAGCAAAATGTCCCTCATAGAACACCGCGTGGTATATGCCTATCTTCAATAGCCCGGGGGGTTCAGAACAGTTAAACCCCATTCCATTTCATTCCTTGAACTGTACAAGACACTTACAAGAGTGATAAAGGCGAAGGAGACCGATGTATTTTAAGGGGCTGGGGGCGGAATAATAATTCTAGAAATACACAAGTAAAAAAGTTAAAAAAAAAAACCTTTCTAACTTAATAACTAAAATGTATTAAAATATATTTAGTATACAATTCTAGAAATACCCCCCAAAATATATTTTTCTAGAAATACCCGCCAAAACGTAAAACAAAATAACAAGTAACGTTTTTAAGTATTTAATAAATACAATTTTATTCTAGAAAAAGACAAAAAAGCTATTTCGGTCTAAGGAATAAACACGAAATGAAATGAAATGAAATGGGGTTTAACGTCCTACTGTTTTGCTCCGAACTGGGCTAATGAAGACGGGCATACGCCATACAGTGTGCTATGAGGGAAATTTTGCCCGGACAGCGGCACTACGGCCTACTCTTATATCGAATTCCAACTGTCAAGGGATCTTTTACGTGCACGCCAATATCTACACGGGACCTCGGTTTTTCGTCCCATCCGAACGACTAGACAGCTGTCCTTGTCAGGCCCTCCGTCCTGCATCACTGACAAGGGGGAAACCACGCCGGAAAATCTGGATGAACTTTTTCGGCCAATGCAGGGATCGAACACCCGACCTCCAGGCTAGCAGGAATAAACAGAAAAAATAATAGTTTTTATTTATCTTTCTACCACGTCTTTTCTCCATTCCATCTAAAGATCTTTCCCCATCTGAGGTCTTTCCCCATTCCATCTGAGGTCTTTCTCCATTCCATCTAAAGGTCTTTCCCCATCTGAGGTCTTTTTCCATTCCATCTAAAGGTCTTTCCCCATCTGAGGTCTTTCCTCATTCCATCTGAGGTCTTTCTCCATTCCATCTAAAGATCTTTCCCCATTCCATCTGAGGTCTTTCTCCATTCCATCTAAAGATCTTTCCCCATCTGAGGTCTTTTTCCATTCCATCTAAAGGTCTTTCCCCATCTGAGGTCTTTCCCCATTCCATCTGAGGTCTTTCTCCATTCCATCTAAAGGTCTTTCCCCATTCCATCTGAGGTCTTTCCCCATTCCATCTGAGGTCTTTCTGCATCTGAATGTTAGGCTATTTGTTTTCCACTACATATTTAGCATACAATTCTAGAAATACCCCCCAAAAAGTAAAACAAAATAATAAGTAACGTGTTGAAGTCATCAATAGAAAAAAACAACATTATATATTCTAGAAATAGACAAAAAACTAATACTGTTTATTTATATTTGAAATAATTTCCACGTCCCTGATTGATCACTATGTTATTTGTTGTCCACGGTCGTTATTCCGTGATAAATTTTATTCCAGAAATGTGGGTTATTCGCGTCCACATGGTTTATGTCATAACGGTAAATATTTTCTTCATTAACAGACTCCAGAAAGTAATCGATATTAGTCGGTATATTCAAATTAACATCCACAATTAAATTCAATCGGTTGGGCGTGGTTAATGTTATAAACGATAAACACAGCCATCGTGGACGATGAGAAATCAGAAGCCAGAAATCCAGGAGTTAAAATAAGAACAACCTTCCAGCTAGAATCCATGGTGTTGTATAATTCGGTTGGTTTGTCAGCCCCATAGGGTTCATCTCTGTCACGAAGATAAAGTTTTAATCCCCGTCGTACCTCTAACTCGTCACGAAGAGTGTGACACACCCATTGGTACACGTCATCAGCATACAGAACACACACGTCATATAGAAATTCTTCTCGCTTCTTGGCTTTCACATATCGCCCGATCATTCGTAGCAAAATTAGTTTGATCTTCAGTTTATTTTTAACGAATACAAAAGATACCAGCAATGCGACCAGGAGTACGCTCATTCCGGTTACAGCAACAGTGAGCCACAAATAGGAGAAGCAATGTGAGTATAGAGAATGGAATCGCCTGTTAACAATTCCAGTAGTTGTTTTTACTCCCTCGAAACTAATACACGGATAATCTCCACCGTCCAGGTTAACCTTGGTTTGATTCAGCCACTGTAATAAACTCAACGATTCACAATTACAAGACAACATGTTTCCAGATATAGAAAGGTGAAGTTTATGTCCGTTTAATGTGAGTTCATCTAGAGTTTTTCTAGTGTCTTTGTCTATCGTTACTAAGGAATTTTTACTCAGATAAATCTGCTGCAGCCTGGGCAGACCTGATAGAGCGGGAATGGTAATTAAATTATTATAAGACAGCGAAACTTCTTTTAAATTGGACAATCCTTGAAATATATCACGGGGTATTATACCCAGAGCATTTCTACTTAGATCTAACCTTTCTAATTTGGATAATGGTTGCAGTAATCGTTTGCCAATATTGAAAAACGCATCGACATTCAAATGCGTATTGCTAAGTCTTAATTGGGTTAATTTTGGAAAAACGACTGAGCAATATAAAAGCAACTATTGCCGCTTAAATCCAAAATCTGTAGGTTCATTACACCCGTTATTTTAGTGTCCGAAAAAACAGCAAAATTGTACGACATGTTCAGGGCAACAATATTTGTTCCTCCTGTGATTATAAGATTAGTAACGACGCCAATCCTATTAATACCGCCTAAGTAAAGATACTTTAGCTTACTCGGCAAAGTTAACGGGTACGTTTGGTGTCTGTCATGGTGTTCCAAATCCTCAAAGTGGGATTTGTCGCCCAACGGATTAGCGGTGGATTGGGCCGATATGTCCAAATACTCAAGATTCTGAAAAAGGCAAAAACCCAAATAAATATCCAAAGGACTTATTCGTGCAGCAATTTTATTGTTGGACAAATCAAGATGTTTTAAACACCGTGTTAATCTAGGAAGGGGACTTTTAAAAAAATCAGAAGTTTCCACCATGTTTATCTGATTGAGTTGTAAGTCAAGGAAGGAAATGCAGATGTCTTTCAATATGTCAAGAGTGAGAAAATAGCCCGCCGTAGTCGTAAACAAATGTCTGGATGCAGCATAGTTTATTGTTACCGATTCCAGGCTTTTGTTTCTAAATACGTGTAATGTTGAGATAGCATCGGGTAAAGCCAGCTTGGTATTTACGTCAGCTATTATGATAAGATTCTTCAGATTTTTAAACGGCACGAAAACATTCTTGTCCATTTCATCAAGAACACATCCTGATAAATCAAGGGTAGCAATAGAGATATTTTGAAACACCGAAAATGTGCTATCATAAATCTGCTTTACTGGACAACGGCAAATTTGGTAACTTGATAATATTAATTCTGATAGAGCTTTTAGTTGTGAAAATCCTGTTCCAAATTCAACTGTGTCTCCTGTGTCAATATTTAAAGTTATCAAATTTGTTAAATAACTGATGGGTTCATCGGGTAAAATTAAGTGCGACCTTGAGCCGTAGTAATTGGTTCGAAGAGTCAGGGTCTTCAGATTCATCAACGGAATAAAAACTCCTCTGGGTAGAGATGGGAGAGAATAATTGAGTCGATGCCCCATGATTTGAAGGTCTACCAAGTTCGTTAAATTATTAAAAGCTTCTTCTTGAATATCATACAACGGGTTGGAATTTAAACTAAGACTTTTTAATTGGTGTAAATATAGGAATTGGTGGTTTAATAAATGTTCAAATTTGTTGTGATTTAAATTTAAAGTTGTTGTGTTAGCAGGCAGGTCGACTGGTACAGAGGTCAGATTGTGATGAGAACAGTCCACAGAGATTCCAGTATGGTGCTCATCTACACTATATTTACATCTCGAACTTGAGGTCCCTCCGTTCTTTAACATTTGAACAACCAGGATGAATACAACACAAACCACGTCCATATTCATGCTTGGTTTTGGTTGGGGTACTGAAGCGAAAATATATAAATTTATCAAAGGTCAATTTATTGTTTATTTATTTCCTTGTCTGGATAGATGTTTTTAATAATGATACTTTATATAGTCAAATAGCGCAAAAATATAGGGTTTAACGTCCACTCGACACAAACTATGTCATTTCGGGACTAACTTATGGTTCAATTTTATTGCAATAATTCGCTTGTGCGTAGTAGTCTTTAGAAGTGGAAGGAACCCGGAGGACCCGGAGAAAACCCAACAGATTAGACAGACGACCCTACTCCTTGTCACCCGTCGCATGTGCTTGTCCGAAGGTTTACTTTTTAAAGGAAAATGACTATAAAAACTTAGCATGTACCCTCAAAATTTGGGACTTTTCGGTACTCCCATCTTGTTAAACGTTTCGAGTGTTCGGTTTATTGAGTACACTAACACAAACCACGTGCGAACAGACTCGATCAATGTTGGGGGGGGGGGCAGAAATTGGAATGCCCGAAAAAATTCCAGGTTCAGGTTACAGATGGCGTTCTTCGCGCGAATCGTGGGAACCTAGCAATAAGAATGTTGTAAACATTTTTTTTTTCTATCGTAACACCTGACTTGTTTGCACGAATAGTCACGGGTATAAATATGAAATAGATATTTGAGTAACTTCCTTGTTAGATAAATATGACAATATAAAGAAGACGGTGTGTGAAATTGTATACGTATATATAACATCAACGATAAATATATGGTTGGTTGAATTCATTATTTGGAGCATGACCTTTTATGAAGGGTGCCCGAAAAATGTTTTAATCTATAGTCAATTCAGTACAAATTCGTGGTATTCAATTAAAAGATAAGTAAAATTAGTATCTCATCAGATTTCGGTCATTTTATTTTGCCAACGCCTATGCCACAACAAACCATCAGAACCCTTTTTCTAGCAATTCATTTGAGGGTTGGTCCCCTATTTTCATAATTTGACTGATCAGAACGGCATAAAATCCACTCACTTTATCTAATGTGTCTGTATCTCCAGGCAACAGTGATCTGTATTGCTAGGAAACAGTGATCTGTATTGCTAGGCAACAGTGATATGCATTGCTAGGCAACAGTGATATGTGGTGCGGTCTTCAAACAGTATATTATTATACCTAGAGAATTTTAACAAATTATGTTGATTTCAGAGAACACCAAAATCATGAGTTTGTTTTGACCCCCCCCCCCCCGCCCAAAAAAAAAATAAAAAAAACACCAACGTACCAAATTCAGATATCCAAATCTAATCTTCAGGATATTTGTACAGACAAACTGGGTTCAGATATCACCTACTTAAGACATTCATCATCTGATATATGACTCGACTGGGAAGAAAGTTAAATACGTGCTGCAGCACAGATTTCATCATCTATTGTGTGCATGTATCAACTATGTGTGACGTATTTATAATCTATTTATAGATATTTGTGGGGACATTTACTTGTAATACAAGGTGTTACTGTTAGATTGAAAAAATAAACTCGTGCAGAAAACTGCTGATCCATAGGTCGAATATTATATTAAAATAAATAATACATCAGACCGTGAAACTGTGTAAAAGGTTAAATCTAGCGTGCCTACAACGAATATTATATTAAATTTAAATAATGCAACAAACCGTGCAACCAGGGAACATTATGTGTAAGCTTCCTTTTTTAAAGATACATTATGGAAGATTAGATAAAGAGCTGGCAGTTCTCACTATATAATCATGAATGGAAGTCGAACAGCAAATCGGAACCTAATCCAATAAACATCGCAGGTTAGCAATGATATCGAGAGTTGATTATGGTCTGGATCAGTTAATTAATGCCGAATTAATCATTTAGATAACATTTCAGGCCTAAAAAAGACCTGCAATAGACAGATTTAGCTCTTGCATAATGTATTTTTAATATGTATCAACAAAGTGTATTGAGAAATGAAAACAGTCAGTTTGCTTGTGACAAGGTTGATAGTTTTAACAGCCCATCACACAGGACACGCCAGTTATATTCATTCACTATTGCAGGTCTTGCTTGTGGCTTTAAACCTGATATTATTATTTATTATTATTTAGACAATTTTTATTGTTCAAATGTCAAGCCTATAATTAAATCAACTTATAAACAAGCCTACAAGATACGACAGTAAAGGAATTAACCCTTTAATGTACTTGATTATAACCAATTTTTAAGGTTTCACGACGTCTAGACAACTTCTGTAGCGACCACTGCCCTGTGTACTGTTGATTAAGTTTCCAAAATCCTAAAACAAGATGTTATAAAAGAACTATGCGGGAACACAAAAATATCAACTATGAGGGAAG